TGGAAGGTGCAAGTGTTAAAAGATTAACACGCTTCATTTCGTATCAGCCTCGATTTGCCCTTTTCTAGCATGGATAAATTATACAGTGTACAAGGATCTGTGTTTAATATTTAGGTTATTCTGGAAGCAATGTTACACTAGCTCACATGCAGATCATGGTACAGACCATCAATTGACATACTGTGTGGAAAAGATGATCTTGACAGGTAACAGCTCTGGTTTTTGTTCAGTGTTTAGCAGGAATGGGGAAAAAATATTCACAAAACTTTTGAAATTTTGTTTGTCAGTACTATATCGATACAAGGACACCAAATATCAATATTTTATTAAATATATTAAAATACAACCAAGTCAGCTCATACTGCCCGATGGGAGGGGAGCTTTCTGCACTAGTCTGACTTGGACTGACTGCAATCACTCAGAGAGAGACTGTCAAAGGTTTGCAAATAATAAATAATTTGTCTAATTTATAAATGCAGACAAATTGCCGACATGTTGGCATTAGTCTGAATGAGTCCCCGTCAATGAGCACAACTAGAGGGGACAGGCTGCCAGCTGATTCTGGCATATTCTGGTTATGTTCCTTTTTAAAAAAAAATTATCATTATTTAGAATTTACCAAAAATATACATTTTTTTAATAGGGAGCCAGACTCAAAATGCCACATAATAGCTTGGTCACTTTATCCACGTTTACTGAGTATAAACAACCAAACAAGAGTTCATCCCAAACCCAGTTCCCTTATCATAAAACATACAGTATACTGTTAAGCCCTGTCCTGCCCAGTTTTCATAACTTGCATCTACCTTATTAAGTAAAAAAAAAAATCAAGCTCATAAGCGCACCATCTTGAGGTCCTAGCCTCTTCATTCCAATCATTCTTGTTAAGAAATTGTAACCAGAGTTTTAGAGGCAACCAACTGGTTATATTCCTGTGGTACAGGAAGACCGCTGAGCACAAATGGAACAGTTAAATGTAAATTTCAGTCTGTGTGGGCAACAACAGATGTGTGATTTTGACGATTTAACACAGTTAACTGCTGTATTATCAGAAACCGATTGCATGTCATTTCCAACTTGACCGCATTCATGCAAAGACTAATAGACTGACTCAGTCTTATGGCAACATTTACGGCCAATTTTAATGACAATGTTGATTTACTTAACAATCTCATTTTGCTAAAATAAATAAGTGATAACTGAATTGAGAGAAATTGATTTTATTGGATAAGACATATACTGACAGAGTTTAACTTTGCGGACATAATTTGCAATATTATTTTTATAATTGTTGCAATACTCGTTTCTAATTATTGCAAAATGTTAAAAACTGCCGTATCATATGATGAGTGTTGTGATATTTTGTATCATGGGATGTCTGGCGATTCCCACCTTCCCGTTTAAGAGGTGGTGTAGTCATCCGTTTTATTATCATAGTTGTAGATATGGATTCTGAGACTAACTGTTGGCAGCTAAACAAATTTGGAGCCTTTTACATCCCTCTCGCTTCCAAAATGTATTCATAGAGAGATGTTCCCGTCACACATTTTAGTTTAAAACAGTCCTTTTACTGTAACTGACTGGAAACTCTTCCACATAGGATAATCTCACTAGATATACATGAGGTAAAATATGACAAATTACTCAAACAATGCTCAATGCTGCTCAAACAATGAGGGAAATTGTTTGTGTGGTGTATTTACGAGACCGTAATAAAACCAGTTTTACAAATACTGAATTTAAAGCAGTGCTCTTTTAAACGTAACACAGTGTAATTGTCTGCTGGGCAGTTCTGGACCCTCTGACATCCGATCAACTTCTCTGATAGGCAGCACAATGAGGCCTTCAGAAGCAAAATGGTGGCTGATGTTACCCAGAATGCTTTGGACCAGCGACAGGACGAGACTTGAGATTGTTTACTTCAGCTAAAATTACAAACTGGCATCAGATAAATTTAGAGTGGGAACGCTAACACACGTGACGCGATGGTGTAGCTGTCTTCTGTAAATACATATGTAACATAACTCCGACTCCACTCTCTCCAACTTTAGACAACTACACCAGCACTGGGTCAAACATTATGTAAGGCGAATCTCAGACACACATGACCCATAAATGCACAGTCAACACCAAAGTGGCATCAGGATCTTTTAAGGTCACAGGCAGCATGTATGGACTGTTTTTTTTCTCTTTACTCTATTTGAACACTCTAAACACTAACATATCTCTCTTTTTTAACCTAATGTACACATACTCACACTCTAATAAATACATTGAAGCATCTTGCCAATAATACTGTGATGTAGAGGATCCAGGAATCAAATCACCAACCTTCTGATTAGTGTACAACCCGCTCTACCATCTCAGCGCCGCCTACATGAGGCTGCAACTATTACAAAACTGAGAAGTAATTAAGCGACAGAGTCCAAAGCCACCTCAACAGCTTCTTTTGTTTAGTTTATTGTAATGTGAAACACAAAAAGAAGCAGATACCGGGGAACCAACCCATGTTTGCATAAAATACTAATCAATCAAAAATTATTTCCTTTCGAGCAACTAATTGATTAATCGACTTAATCACTTGTCCCACACCACTGAGACTCTAATGCTTGAGGGGAGGGTTGGGGGGAAGGGGCCACAGCAGGCTATAATTGTGGCAGGGATTCAGACAATCAGCGGATAATTGTTAATTATGAGTCGCCTGTGAAACAGAAACGCCTCCGCGACGGTCCTAATAAAAGTGCCACGTTCGTCAAGTTACATATCATTACCCCGATAATTACTTCGATGCTGCGCGCTGAGCGGGGCTCGGGAGGTCCAGCCTGTGTGAAGGACATCCCTCTGCCGGTGAACGCAGGGAGTGGTCTAACTGGACTACAACTCCGTGTTTGGCTGCTGTTTTTCAGCACCGCTTCCTAAACGGGGCACAAGCGGCCAAAAACAATGACGCGTCACTGCGAGCAACCGGTGACAAAAACAACGGCCCCGGAGTCAGCCCTCCACTCCAATCAAACAAGCCGAAACGCGAACGCTGTTCTTGTTACTCCTGACCCCGAAAAGGAGCCACAAACAATAGAGATGTTGTCCATATTATCATAAAACCAACAGTGAGTATTTATACAGTCAAACGCGTACACGCGCAACGCACAGCCCAATTATTCTCCTCCATTCACTTACACCACATTCATATTTTTGTTCCCTCCAGCTCGCCTGAGCTCAATTATTCACTCCTTCACCTACCTACACCACCAACGCCACCCGTGCACTTGTGCTATATGAGTATAAATACTATTTCATATGGACCCTCCTACACACACACACACTCATCCATTCATAACTCATCCTTTCATCTTTTCCGTCCCTCTTAAGCTCCATGTGTACCACATGAAAGGGGGGGAAAAACACACACACACACACACACACATTCATTCACTCTACGCCCCCTCCCCTCTCTGATCGTTTTCACCCATTCAATCCCTCCTCACTCACTAACCCACTAACTCACCCAGACTGTGGTTAACAGAGAAACACACACGCCAGAAGCCCCCCAAAACAAAACCCACTCAGTCCTTAAACTCACTATAAACACACAGGTGGATAAACAAGGGAGAGAAATAATTTATATGTCATTCATATATATTTATATAGAAACAGGCACGCGAGATATTATTGCAATCTAGCTAAATGTAATTTTATAATAGTGGGTACTTTAGTGGGTACTCCAAAATGGGCAGAATCCTGCAGTAGCCTACAGTGGAGGACCTCCTCTGTGAAAAGCTGCCTAGTTGTCGGCGTGGTTTTTGTGTGTGTATGTGTGCAAGATTTAGTGTGATGCGCAGGAGGACAGAAACTGGTATCCATCCAAAAATTAGTCCCCAATAACTTGGATAAGCACGTCACAAAAGTCGAGTGAGAGCACTACTCCTGTGGCTGTGAGTTTCATATAGGAATCAAAATGGCGTTGCAGGGAGGGACAGTAAACCTGATATTAAAATGAGAAATAATGTAGCAGAATTGTTGCAAAGTTCATTATCTGGGATCTATTTTTTGCTGCTTTGCATCGGCACCCCAGACCCTCACTATCATGAGCAAAACCACACGTCCAACCTGTTATTGACTGTGGTCTGATGCGCCAGTTCCTGAACAAAAGAAAGCCATCACTGCGCCCTATACTGAAGGACTTTGGTTTCGGCTGCGGTCCCCCGTGTGCAGCTGGACTCACACCTGGTCATACAGCGACCACTCATCCGTGACCCCTGTCAGAAACGGTGTGATCAATTTTAAGACCCGCTATCAGAATCCCTAATCTTTGAAGGTGTTGGCAACTTTCCTGACAATGAAGCTCGAGTGGAGACTGCCATAGTGACAGTTATAACCAATTCTGCCTCAATATGAGCAAACACGGGGAACCCACGAAGCGTGTCACGATCCGAATAAACCCACATTACCGTCCCGAGTGTCACCTGCAACTTGGATACCGTGACATTTAATTTATACGTGGTTTAACAGTAAATAATCTCGACCACGTCACTCAAAGTCAATGGCCGGACTGTGTTAGTTGTGAAAATGTATCCATGTATTAAAAGGAAAAACGGACTCCTGCATTGCACGAACAGCGTGCATCAGCACGAGCATAGATGCAGTTTCGATGTGCGTTGGGTGATTTTGTCCCAGGTTCCGCGTGTTTGGGTCAATTTAATGCGAATTGTGCAAAATTGTTCACGGCACGCGTTACTTCCAGCGGGTTTTCCTGGAATAAAAGTTGTTGGCCGGCGCGGATGGAGGACAACGAGTGTGCCGGCGTGAAGCCCAATGTCTCTGCTATCAGCCCGTGATGTTCCGCTCGGTAGTATTCATCGGGAGTTTTTATATTTGTCAGGAGTTGGAGGATGAAGAAACACAAACGGGACGGCGCCAGTTCCATGGAGTCCGCTAGATCAGCTGCTGGCAGTTGGTGTTCTCAATCACGTCCGCAGATAGGCTTCATAGGCTCACTAACGCGCCTGTGGAATAAGACACTTAAACTGATCCCGGGTATTAAAGCGTGACTTTGTGTGGATGAGATTTTTTCTTATTTATAAGCAGAAATAAAGTAGCGCATTGTCCGATAACCTGGACTTAGAGGAAAAGCTTCATTTCTGACTGCGCGTTTATTTCGCTCTTCTCGACGTTCCTGTGCACAGAGCAGGGTGACACTTACACCTTCCAGGACTTGCTGGTTAACTTACTCAAAACAAAGAAGAACAAAAAAGTCATCATGACGGAGACATCCACGGCTCCAGCCAAAGCCAAGAAGGCATCCAAGCCCAAGAAGCTCGCTTCTCATCCCAAGTACTCGGACATGATTAAAGCGGCTATTGTTCACGACGCGAGCCGGAGCGGAGCGTCCCGTCAGTCCATCCAGAAGTACGTGAGGAAAAACTACAAGGTGGGCGACAACGCCGATGTCCAGATTAAAATGGCCTTGAAGAGACTGGTGGCGGCTGGGACGCTGCGACACACCAAGGGAATCGGCGCGTCCGGATCCTTCAGGCTCACCAAACCGGAGGACTCCAAAAAGTCCACCAAGGCGGTAGCGGTGACGGCCGCCAAGCCAAAGAAAGCGGCTAAGCCCGCCAAACCCAAGAAGGTGGCCAAGCCCAAGAAGGTGGCCAAGACACCGGAGAAACCCAAGAAAGCAGCTGCGAAGAAAGTGAAGAAGGTCGCGAAGAAGGCGACGCCAGTAAAAGCCAAAAAGGCACCGGCGAAGAAACCCAAGGCAGCCAAGCCCAAAGCAAAACCAGCAAAGAAAGCAGCCAAGCCCAAGGCAAAGACACCCAAAAAGGCAGCCAAGACATCAAAAAAGAAGTGAATGGACAATAGCGGAGGCAAAATCACTGTAAATACTTAAGGAAATGTTTTCGTATATGTATTATTTTTGTAAGGTGTCATGCAAACTTATACTGTTTTTACCAGTAGTTTTCTCTCCATTTGCACTATAGCCTAAAAAAGCTGTAGAAATAATTGTGAGCATTGTTTTTTTGTTTTTTTAATTATTGCGTTAATAATAATATTAATAATACTGTTAATTCCCGTCTGATCCTCGGTTACTTATGGGCTAGAGTGAGATCTTGCTGATAAGGAAAACTTGTATATACAGTGGAAGTCATGAATAGTTGTTGTTAGTGCACGAGGTCATGCTGAAAATACAAATGTTTCAATGTTGAGCATTGTTGAGCCTTCACAATGTACAAACCATGGGAGGCGAGCGTCAGCAAGAATTTCCTAAAGCCTCTATGGTGGTCATTCAGACTCCATCCTGTATATATTTTTTTCCATGTTCAGACGACTCATGATGTACAAGCACCACTCTGTATTCAGTCACTTTTAAAGACTGCTTACACTGCGACCCAATAAACCTTTGTCATCTTCTAAAAAACAAAAAAGTGTTTTCAACTTATTGCGCGCATGTGCGTAATTCGCTTCGTGAAGCGGATGGATAAAATACTGTGCACAGCAAAACTCTAAAGGCTTATATGTCATTTATTTGGCTGCAAGGACAAAGAACACAGTGTTCTCAATTTTGGATGTGTGGATATTTGGGATGACATATAAACCCTCTTTTCCATAGTATTAGTTATGCGCTGGGATTTAACAAAGCCCACCTACGGAAGCCTTAATGACATATTTTAATCGCATAAGAGCTGATTAAATATAGTGAAACTTGAGATGACTTCAAGTTATAACGTGGCAATTTACACTATGAAGCAATACTTCAACTTATCAAGTGCAACCTGCTCTCCGTGGGTGCAGACAATAGGTTTGATTTATAATCCGAGTGACATAAAGCACGAAGCCTGCACACAACAGAGCGGGAAATGTGCACAGGAATAAAGCACTTTAATACAATGAAAATGCAGTTGTATACAATGGCAGGGGCATTAAATAACTGGGGGTTAACGCTTTTTAGTGAAACCCACAATTCAAACGCTCCTACATAGAGGACATACAGGTTAACCTGTAACAATCATTCGCACATCAAACTCAACATCTATCATGTAGAGGGGCTGCAGATCCCCGAGGAGGTGCCTTTGCAGACACACCCATCGTTTGCCGTCCTCCTCCTTACCTGAGGAGCAACTCTGCCATCTTGTGGCGTCCTGAAGGAACAAACGGGCTCCTCTTCACTGCAGTCGGCACAAAGGCGGCAGCAGACTGGATTCCCAACTGATGATGAGAGTCAGGAATCAGGATTACATGTAAATAACTCCCCTCTTGTTATCTTTATATAGGGATGTAAGATTGCTGCACTAACCTTGTTTAAAAGCTCCCTGCTGAGCAATCAATGTGCAGCGGGCAGACCAACCAAAGCATGCCACTGTTGAAACCGCATCAATGAGGAGTAATCTAATTTTCAGTATTTTAACTCTTTACGCATATAAATAAATAAATAAATAAATAAGGTTTTGTGATTAAGTTTACAGAGAATCCATTCCTCCTGTGACTCATATACACTCGGATGCCAGATATTAAAAACATCTGCTCTCGCTTGAGCGGTAAAAACAAAAAACTTCAGTAACGACAGAAACTTGGTCCAAAGATAAAAGTGCCAACTATTAAACATCAATAATAATTACAGTTTCACAACATCTCTTTCAACAGTCATGACGTCTCCACCCAGTCTGGTCTGGTCTTTTATTAAGCAACTAAAATCAGTAAGAAAACTGTTTTAAAAGTCAAAGAAACGTCCGGAAACAGTGGGTTCAGAGCTAAATCAGTCAACAAAACAGGTATAATAATCAAAGAGTCATAGTGGGAAAACAATACAATGGTGGACTCTGTGACACAGGAAAATCATTGGAAGGGTGTTAGGGGGGAGAAAAAAAAAAAAAAAAGCACAAATCAAACAGTTAAAATCGATTAAAATTAATTTAACTTCAAAGTGAAATTGACAAACCTAGCAGAAGCAAAGATAAATGACCACATTTTTCATTAAAAATGTAAAATTTTGTAGGTGTGCCTGGTCTCCTTTTAGAGCAGAAAATATTTCCTACATTCCGGCAAATGCAAAACCACCATCTTCCACATGAGAGGAAAGTTTCTTTCTGCACAAAGAGAAATCTCTCCCTGCCACAGCATTCCCCATTAACACTTTGCTACTAAAAAAGAAAAGAAAAACAATACTTCATCAGTCCAAACAGCATGCCTAAGAGGAAAGTAGCATGCTACAACTACCCACTGCCACTGGATTAATTTGGCAAATCGTATACGATTAATTTGTATCTCCGGTATCTCAGTCAGAAGAAACAGCGATTCTCATGTGTGGGTTTCAGCAGCAGCCAATCAGCAAGTAGTCTTTGCCAAAATGCTTCACATGCTGCCCTTTGGTTCGTGTTTCAATTTGGCATATTTTGCTTTATGCACGTATATAAAAATCTCTCATCATTAGCACTATATTGACACTGAGGGGGAAAGCAGTGGGCTTGACACTGCTTTCTTCCTGCATTTCCTCCCCTCTGATAAAGCACCTTTTTGGATATTAACAGTAGCAGTTCTTGGAGTGTCAAGCACAGAAAGGCTACCCACTACTTAGCCTGGACGAACAATGTAAGGCGGAAAAAGCTGGGCCCGGCAGCATGGGGAATAATACGATCATCAGCTTGCTGCTGGTGTGATGTGATCAACTGACTTCAAAGTGGAGAAGAGATCAGATGATGGAAATGGCAGAGATATGGAAAGTGTCCTGGAAGCCTTCAGGGTATTAAAAAAAAAAGTAAGATGACATGGACTTTGTCTAGTTCAAGCTGTGGCGGTTCTGCATCTGGTCACAGAGGTTTGGTCTTGATGGATGGAGCATCAGGCTGGGGGGGGAAAGCCTTTCCAGCTTGTCAGTTATTTCAGTCTGGCAACAGCTCTGTAGATAGCAAAACCCAGAACTGCAACCACAGCCGAGCCCAAAGCCATTCTCAGCCAGAATGTTGTGTTGCTCATGTCTGAACCATTCAGGTGCCTGGAGATTGAAAGGGAAAAAGAGCAATCACAGAGGGTCAGCAAAAAAAAAAAAAAAACCATGAACAAGCATTAATATTACAAACATCTAGCTTACTTTACACCTTCACCTAGCACCTTTTATTCATTCAGCTTTATAGTTTCTACAGTTTTAATGAAACTTTCTCCTGAATACACCCCTAGAAACTCTGTATATCAAAATGATTTTTAATGATAATAAAATGTGGTAGATATAACTCTACACTTTATTTAGTATGTGCAGAGCCATAAATATGCAATTAACCCCTGCCTCGGCTTTCTGCTGCCTGCCTGCCATCATCTCCCTCTGCACGTGCAAACCAAAGTGACTGTCAGAATCTGTGTGTATGATGTTTATGAAACTGTCATTGGTACTATACAGTTACAGGTAACAGTGTTATCTAATGTCTGACAGCACTTAGGATATTTTTAATCTGTGCGCAGTTTACCTAAAACAATATACGGTTCCTATAGGTGGATATATATAATATATAGAGACATTTACCTCACATATACTTCTCTATTAATAAATCTAACATGGGCTCAACCTGGGATGTTCTCCCTGTACCAAAGAACCTAAATGGTGACTGAAAACAGGAGGTGGTGACTGAGTGCAGCAGGCTGTCTAACTGAAACATACGGGTACATGGCTGCCCAGGCAAGTCTTGTGTAGATGTTCTTGCTGGTGGAGTCAAGGGACAGCGTGGAGAAGGGCATCGGTGGAGGCAGTCTGTGCTTATAACAGAACTCTGCTGGGGTCATCCCGTGGAACTGCTTCACTTCAGGAAGGTCCACCTTGCAGGCGACCAGCACGCATGGGATGTTGCTTTCCATGTAATGTTGCTAAATTAAAAAAAATTAACAAGTTCAAACAGTGAAAAGCTGAGTTGAGAGAGGAGCAAATTTATATAAAAGGGTGTCCTAATGTAATTCAGATAACACATAACTATGGGGTTGTCAACTAATTACAGCCAGTGGGTCCAAATACAAGCAAATTAAATCACAGTTTATGTTTATGTGTTGCTTAGTAACTGCAGAGTAATTGTAACTGAATCTTTCTTTAGTCAAACAAATATTAAAAAACTGATAATGATGCTGGAAGGATGTCTGTCTCAAGTCTATTTAATATGTTGGACCGTCTAACCTCTGCAATCTTCAGCTCTCCAAACTTATCTTTCTGTAATTACATATACGAACGGTAAAGACTGGGAGAGGCTGCAAAGTGAGCTGTGCTGGATTATCAGATAGGGTAACTGTGGGCAAACAGCAGCAAAACACACAGTAAAAGCAGAACTGATCTCAAAATTAAAAAAATAAATAGAAATTGACACTTTGTCCTTCAAATGGTCCTGCAACTGACCTTGTATATGCTGGCACAATAGTTGAAGGAATGGGGGTCACTGATGTCGTACATGAGACAAGCAACATCACAGGAGGCGTCTGACTTCTTCAAGAACTCTGTCTCCACATCTACCTCGTTAAGCTGCAGAGAAGAGAAGGTTGCTCAGGTCATAGTCAGGGTCAGATAGAGAGAGACGGTGATTTAAAAAAAATCCCCATGGGAGCTACTTACGATAAGGTACTTTTCCTGGTTACTGACTTGTACAGTATTTATGACATAAGGGCAGAAGGCACTGCTGGAATCGCCTTTATTCTATTAAAGCAAAAAAAGACACTTTAGCATGATCAGAGTTAATAGTAAAGAGTGGTATTTGTCTATCACTACCTAAGAATGCAACATATGACATTCAGCTCCGGACTAGGTGATGGGGACATACCACAGTGTGGCGATCCAAAAAGGCCTGGAGGAAGGCCGACTTGCCTGTCCCTCTTGGTCCAATCACTTTGCAGAGAAATACTGATCTCTGGGTCTGTCGCTTTTCTAGGTCCACCTTTTTCTCTCGTGTCACTTCACATATGAACATTTAAACAAACAAACAAACAAATAAATCACAAAACGGGCAAAAACACTGATATGCTATTTTTTTCCTATGAAGCTGGTTAGACTTCAACTAGCTTAGCTGTAAGAGCACCACCGATGCTCATCAAAAGAAAAACGTTAAACATTTCAGATGTTAAAATTCTGGAAAAAAACATAAAACACCAAAACATAAGATGCCAAAAGATCAGCCTGTAAAAACAGTGTAGAAATTACCCAAAGATAAACTGGTCAACACATGTATTTGCTACTGCCCCATCTAATAAGCCACTTTAGTTATCTTAAAATGTTTTGCCGTATTTCACATTTGACATGAAAGTTGCTGGTGAACATAAACCTTGAGTAAAGTGACCTCTAGTGGTTGTCAATACCCGTACACATAAACACTGCATTAGTTTTAAATGAAGTGTAAAGTTTAAAGTTTGTGCTCAAAGCAACCAATAGAAATAGAGCTAAGAATTTAAACTTTAAAATAAATCT